AGACATGACTACCAACGCCACACGGCATGGAATATAAGAAGTACTGCTGTCACGCTGTAAGGACAAAAAGTTGTGGATAGACATGACTACCAACGCCACACGGCATGGAATGTAAGAAGTACTGCTGTCACGCTGCATGGACAAAAAGTTGTGGATAGACATAACTACCAGCGCCACACGGCATGGAATATAAGAAGTACTGCTGTCACGCTGCATGGACAAAAAGTTGTGGATAGACATGACTACCAACGCCACACGGCATGGAATGTAAGAAGTACTGCTGTCACGCTGCATGGACAAAAAGGGGATTGGTACAGAATAAAAGTCGGGGATCCGACAAGACTGCATCCTCTTCCCAGAACTGTTACATATCTTCTTAAAAGAAATTATGACTGAGGGCCAAGCAAAGAACAGAGAACAGTTAGAATAATATAAAGGACCAATTTCCACACATTTAAGCGCACTGGGCATGTAGGGCTAGACCTATGTTTTTTTAACCAATCGGCATATAGTGGATTATGTGGCCAGCATCACGCCGGTCGCCTTTACTTCCCATGACTTCATCTGGTACCCACTCAAGGCTGGGTCACGACCGACTCCAGCTGGACCCAGTCGGGGCTGGGTCGACCTGGGAGCCAAGGCTCCGTCAGGACCAGAAAACACGACGTTCCGACCCGCAGGCGAGTTTCTAGCCGCTACACCACAGCGACTTCCAACACTTAGTTTAGAAGGACGAAATATAGCTCACTTAAGATGGCAGATGACATCGACGGGTTGCCTGGGAAAGAATAGGAGCTAGTCGAACTTTGGGATATTGTCTTCTCGGTGTGCTGGCTGGTTGCCAGGGGTTTTTCATATATAAAACATCGATGACATTCTGAATGCACACTGTTGGTAACGAGTAGACAATATCCAGTTATATTCTTTATTAAGCTTTCACAGGTGATCTGGTCCTGTCAGTGTCTGCTTTTGGCTAGCAGGTCCAACAAGAGATGATGACAGTTATCAAGTACAGAATCCACGTCTACTCCCATCCACACTCGTTAACTTTCAGTCCTGTTTCCTTACACACGCGATGCACACAATGGTTGATCCGGCATCTCTGATCATGGCTGTAAGATTCCTTGGCCAGTTGGAACTTGTCGGCTACCACCTCTGGTTAGGCTGTTGTCAGATTGTCTTCTGGCTGTCCTCTCATGGAATAGAATCTTCTTCATGTCTTCAATTATCCAATGTCACATTCACTCGTCTTTCAGATACGACCTTTCACGCCAGCTGCCAAACACATACTAACTGATTGGACCTTGGTCTGAACTTATAACTCTCGTTCTGGCTTTCACGAGCTGGTTTGAGCCATGTCCGTATATCTCATGTTTCTACGAGTGTTCACATTCTTATGTGTTTCTCTCTTATCCCATGTTTACTCCTGTACTGTTGTTTAAAGAATCCCTGCTGGAAAATACCAATATTACAAACTCATAAATAACTTATAAACCTGCTTAATGAAACATCGACCAAGTGTTGGATGGAAATAAACTGGATAAAGACTAATGTAATGACTAATAATCCAGCTGGCATAACTACACCAATATAGGTTAAAAGTTACAAATTAGAACAGATCAGTCACATACAGGATCCATTTTAAATGACCAAAGATCCGGACCAAAAATCATTTTAAGTGACCAGAAATCATGTCTACGATTGCCAAGACCACATCAGTCTGTTGCAAACAACACATGTTGTGGAGATCCAAAAACATTTCATGTAAAACAAAGCTTCGACTGCTCAGAGCACTAGTTATTTGATTGTGTTTTGAGGCTTTGAACAACGGATCAACGTCATAGCACACAGGTAGTAACCCATATGTGCTCCGTTCTTCTTCTAACTCAAGTAGGATTCCGAAGAAGCTCAGCACAGTGCACAGGCTCTATAGCACCGACGAAGAACCTGAAATACTTGGGGTAGATTTTTAACTTCAAATTTTGATCGGGCAGCTCCGTTAGGCTACTCTTTTCGATTTATAACTGCCATGGGATTTTTTTTACGTGCTTAACAATGCACACGGGCGTCCTATCTTACTACCCAGAGACGACAGGGAATGAGTAAAAGTCCAAGTCCCCGCGAAAAGATCCCAGCCCTTATTGGGGATTGAACTCGGAACCTCTAGCACTCAAAGCGGACACCATGCCTCGAGACCACGCAGCTTCCCTATTAGTATGTTTACGTAAGTCTGTGGAACGTGGGCCTTAACAGCTGAACTCGAAAAGAAGATAGAGTTATTGGAAATGCGATCTTTTAGAAAAATTTCAATCATATCTTACAAAGAACACATTACATACAATGAGGTTTGCCACATACAATGAGGTTTGCCGTATACAGCACAACTGGCAACTATGAACTTCCTTCAACTTCAGTTAATGGTACGAACATTTCATTAGATCTAATGGCCTCCTAAAAACAGCACTACAGGACGGACGCTGTAGAGGGGAAGAGGGGATATAGAGAAGAGGCAGACCAAGAACCTGACTGACTTGGAAGGTCATAGGCATGCAACCATGAAGTCCATCGCATCTGACCACCAAAGGTGAAGGGAGCTCTGATCAGACAGTCAACAAAAACTGGAGATCCAACGACACGTAGTGTTACAGGATGATGATGGTGATGATGATGATGATGACGATGATGATGACGATAATGATGACGATGATGATGATGACGATGATAATGACGATGATGATGATGAGGATGATGATGATGATGATGATGATGATGATGATGATGATGATGATGATAAGAAAGATGACGATGATGATGATGATGACGATGATGAGGATGACGATGATGACGATGATGAGGATGATGATGATGATGAGTATGATGATGATGACGATGATGATGATGATGGTGATGACGATGATGATGACGATGATGATGATGAGGAGGATAATGAGGATTATGACGATGATGATGATGATGACGATGATGATGAGGATGATGATGATGATGACGATGATTATGATGATGATTATGACGATGATGATGATGATGATGATGATGATGAGAAAGATGACGATGATGATGATGATGACGATGATGAGGATGATGATAATGATGAGTATGATGATGATGACGATGATGATGATGATGGTGATGACGATGATGATGACGATGATGATGATGAGGAGGATGATGAGGATTATGATGATGATGATGATGATGACGATGATGAGGATGAGGATGATGACGATGATGATGATGATGAGGATGATGATGATGATGACGATGATTATGATGATGATTATGACGATGATGATGATGATGATGATGACGATGAAGAGGATGATGGTGATGATGATGATGATGATGATGATGACGATGATGAGGATAAAGTGGCCACAGGGGAGCCGCTGTGGTGTAGTGGCTAGACGCTCTAATGGGTACAAGTAAAGTCCTGGAAAGTAAAGGCAGCCGGGCGGATGTGACCCCATCAACCCACCTAGTGCATATTTGTCAATAAAATAAAGGATTAGCCCTATATGTTCAATAGGCGTCTGAAAGGGTCCTTTATTTAAAGAGCCTGTACCCCAATTCAAATTAGGGCTGTACCGAATAGTGATTTTCACTATTCGGCCGAATACGAATAGTGGGTCCAACTATTCGGCCGAATACGAATACGAATAGTGTATCATCATCATCATCAGGTGCCTTGCCGACTGGCGTTGGCAATTTTACCTCGCCACAATCTGCGATCTCCTGCAGCATGTATCAGTTCGTGTGCTGACACCCCTCCATGCTGTGCAACAAGATTGTCAAGAATCTTCTCTCGTTGTCTTTCTTTATCTCTCCATCCACAGATTTTTCCTGTGCTCACCACATGTTTCATTTTCCCTCTTCTCATAACATGGCCGAAAAATGATGACTGTCTCCTTCTGATGTCTGTGATAAGTTGTCTTCGGGCTCCCGCCTTTTTTAAAACCTCTTGGTTGCTTTTTTTTGTGTTTTGTTTTGGCTGTCCAAGTTATTTTAAGCATTGTTCTGTAAAACCACATTTCTGAGGCCTCAAGAAATTGTTTGGCTTGCCTGCCGATTGTCCAGGACACAACCATATGTTAAAATTGGATGTATGCAGCAAGCAAGAATTCTTTTTCTAACATTCAATGACAAAGATACATTGCATAAGATGTTCTTCATTTTATAAAATGCAGTTTTTGCCTGTCCTTTTCTGTTTCTTATTTCAGTAATGCATCTTCCATCGGATGTTATCCATATGCCAAATTCGCATATAAATCATCGTTCGCTCGGCCGTTCGTTCGACGTAATTTAAACGCACCTTCAAATTCTTGTTAGGAATATCTTCAAATTTGATTTGGGCAAAGACACCCTGAAAGAACGAAAAAATACATGCTCTCTCTCTCTCTCTCTCTCTCTCTCTCTCTCTCTCTCTCTCTCTCTCTCTCTCTCTCTCTCTCTCTCTCTCTCTCTTTTTTTTTTTTTTTCACACACACACAGACACACACTCACACAAGCAAAACAAAAACAAAAACAAACAAAAAAAGAAATCGCATTGCTTAAATGTGCTTACTTATCTGCTGCACCTTCACGAACACAGATGGAGAATCGGTCGCATGTCGAGATAAACACAAAGACCACGGCTGACTCAGTCTGGAGAAGGCGGTGGACAAACTTAGGCAACGGCAACTATTGTGTTAATGAGAGAGTTTTTTATGTCCATTGCAGTGTATGCAGAAATCACTATTCGTATTCGGCCCGACCGCCACTATTCGGCCGAATACCGAATAGCTATTAGGTCCACTATTCGGCTTCGAAGCTAATACAAAGCGAATATTCGGTACAGCCCTAATTCAAATCGCCGTGGATTCTGCCCTAAACAGGTCACTCCAGCATCGTTCACAGTCACAGCAGGCTATGTTCCCAAAACCAGCGACATAGTTTCAATCTTTCTATGGACTGACCTTTGCCCTCGAAACCTATCAGGGTACTCAGAACGTAAAGATACTCGGAAACCGTTGGCACTGTTGTATGAGTCGTGGGTACAGCCTGTTCTTAAACTTAATGATACTCGTATCCTTGACATTTCCGTATCTCAATGTCCGATAGTGATGAACCAGTGCCGAGTTCACGTCTACAGTAACGGCGCTCACGTTGCCCACAAATGAATGCACAAAGTGAATGCCCATGATATAAACTAGCTCAGGACGAATTATATATTTACTCCTAATTTGTGGTGGATATATTTCCTCAGAACGCCAAAATTGGGAAAGTGTAAATAAGTTGAATTGTTGAATGTTATTCTTTTCTTCCTCCGAAAAATGAAATTGCGAAGGAAGTTCTGACCAGATTGGCGTAGTGCTAACAGCAAACAAACTTGACCTAAATTCAAAGCTACCAATTGTTTTAGGACCTTTCCCTAATTGTTTTGCCCGGTGCATAAAAGCCGAAACGCCATATTCTTCAGCGGAGATAGAATCAAGTAACTCCATCCAATTAAGGTTTTTCCTGGGAATGATAAATTCGTCAGTGTCAACAACAACCACATATCTGGAGATGTTGCGGTTTCGATAACCACAGTCATTCACTGCAGCCATTTGTCCATAGTATTGGACTTCCCAAGTTGGAACCGGCCATGGGACAACAGTGACCAGACCATCCTGCTGGTAGCGCTGGAGAATCTGGTCAACAGCCGGGGAGATGCTGTAGTTGTACACCACGAAGTGCTCGGCGCCAAGTATCCGGTTCATTTCTATAGACTGTATGAGCTGGGATGGTGAGCTGAAGCCGCTGTGTAGAACGGAGTAGCAAACGGTGAAGTTTCGGATGAGAGTTCCCGGGTAGATGATCTGGAGTCTGTTGGTTAGCTCACTTTTCTGTAGATAGCTGATGGAGACATGCGTGGGTCGCACATTTACAGGCAGGATGCACTCGACGTAGCCTGGGAAGTGTCTAGGAGGAGGAGGAGTTGGAAGAGGAAGAAGTAAGAAAGGAAGGGAGGAAGGAAGAATGGAAGGAAGGAAGGGAAAAAGGAAGGGAAGAAAGAAGGAAGGATGGAAGGAAAGAAAGAAGGAAGGGAGGAAGGAAGAAAGGGAAGGAGGGAGAGAGGAAGAAAGGAAGGTGTCACATAACAGCAATAAACCCCTACCACAATAGACTTTTACACAGGCTGGACACCCCCCCCCCCCTTTTTCCCCCTTTTTCCTCATACTAATTGGTGTATCTATATCTCGGATGGTCCGTCCGTAGATATATAGTTCTTTTGCTATTGGGGAGTCCAGATGTGAGAAATATATACAGATCACTCCTAATATTATCCTTCTTGACGAATAGTGTCAGTATATATAATACGACACGTTTTCTGTACCTGTTCAAATTTATTAGTTTGACCGCTTTACTACCAAGCTTGAGCCATATCATTGCCCAACGGTGGTGGTGAGGGACTAGTATTCTCTACCTCACTCCTACTCAATACCTCCAAGGAAACGCAAGCGTTTTGTCGCGGTTGCCACTTGACCGTTATTAATGAAAATCAGTTTTGTCAGATAATTGTCGTCAACACGGGATGTCTGAATATCCAACAAATGTCTGGGTAGTAGTCCGGTTCTCGAGTCAACCGTCAACCTGAGAGACCAGCCCGGTCAACTCCTCATATTGTCTACCTTGATAAAGGATCCACACAAGCTGCCCAGCTTCCACCACACATGTCTACGTAGAATTATCAAAATTTTCTGGCCAGAAACAATCTCAAACACTAAACTACTTCAAGCCACAAACCAAGAAACTTTAGACAGTATGATTACCAAGAGAAGATGGAAATGGCTTGGCCACGTTATGAGAATGACTTCTGATATACCTGACAAAACAGCTCTCACATGGACACCAGAGGGAAAGAGAAAACAGGGGCGCCCAAAAACAACATGGAGACGAACGATGGAAAGTGACCTGAGTGCGGCATCTTTGACATGGAAAATTGCACTGAAGATTGCACAGGACAGGAAAGCATGGAAAGTCCTCTCTGAAGCCTCATGTGCCACCAGGCATAACGAGAACTGATGACTGATGACTGATGATAGAGGTCGACACTAGTGAGTCCCTGGAAGGACTCGCTAGTCTTTCTGCTAGTCAGGGAGGAGAGTTCTTGATCTACCGAATCGTTCCAGGAGTTGGGAGGCTGCGAAGATTTACACTTCCCAACACAAAAGAGTCTCTGAATTCTCTACAGATAAGTCTAACAATTGCAGTAAATATAGCAGACAAGACCAAGATATACTCAGTAATCCCTCTCCGGCCTCCAGACGATGATGACTACGGAAATTAAAGAGGCCTTCAAAGGACCCCCGTTCTCTAATCTTAATTCTTTAATAACATTATAAACTATCGTTCTGTTTTTCTTTATTCTACATTTCGTCTTCTCTTACCACAGTAAACTTATTACATTATATTCTTTTTTTTCTGAAAGTTTTCAGTTCACAGAAGAAAGTTGTCTTGATTGAATTGTTCGTCACAATCAGAAGTGTCACCATGTCTTGTCAGACCCACTGTTGTATATTCTTTCGACTGTATTAACCTTGTTTTCCAGTCTGGGGGCAAACAAATCGATGTTGAAGTCAGGCCGATTTAAACCCAAGAATTCAAAATAATTCCGTGGAGTCAGAACTCGAGTCGCCTCATCCCTGGGATAGGCTGAATGTATGACTGAACCGAGGACTTAGCTTTTAGACAAACGAGAGCCGACGTTCAGGATACTCCTGTCTCAGAGTACCTGCTGTTTTTAGGGAACAAATATTGAAGTAAAGGTACGTGACCAAAACTGCTATACGACAAAAGGAAGGGAGGGAGAAAGGGGAGAAAGAAGGATGGGAAAAAAAGAAGGAGGAGGAAAGGAAAAAAAGAAGTAAAAGAAGAAAAAAAAAAAGAAAAAAAAGAAGAAGAAGAAGGAAGAAGAAGAAGAAGAGAAGAAGAAGAAAAGAAGAAGAAGAAGAAGAAGAAGAAGAAGAAAGAAGGAGAAGGAGAAGAAGAAGAAGAAGAAGAAGAAGAAGAAGAAGAGAGAAGAAGAAGAAGAAGAAGATAAGAAGAAGAAGAAGAAGGAGGAGAGAGGAGTTGGATAAGAAGAAGTAGAAGAAGAAGAAGATAAAAAAAAAGGGAGGCGAGTTTGGATAAGAATAAGCTAGCATCCAGAAGAAGATCGATAAAAAAAGGAGGAGTACAATAAGAAGAAGGTAGAAGAGAAGAAGTAGTAGAAGAAGAAGTAGAAGAAGATATAAAAAGAAAAATGAGGTGTAGCGACTAAGAAGAAGTAGAAGAAGAAGCAGTAAACCGAAAAGGCGGAGTTAGGAAAAGAAGGAAGTAGAAGAGAGTGAGAAGAATATAGTGGCTTTTATGAAATTCACCCCAAATACTATATCATATATATTATTTGTATATTATTAACAATATATATATTTTTATGTTCTATTTATTCTCATATATATATATATTTATATTATAGATAAATATATTTATATATATTATATATATATATATATAATATATATATATATATATATATATATATATATATACTATATAGATATTATAGATAATATTTAATTTATTTATGTGTGTGTCATATATATGTGTGTGTGTGTCTGTCCGTCGTCTGTGTGTCTGTTGTGTGTCTGTGCTATCTGGAAAAACTGTCAGCAAGAGAAGAGTTAACCCCTAACCTGAAATTATCGCAGTTCTGGAAAAATGGTGACATTTGCATTCACGCCTTGAAGAACGCTGCTGTTCGCAAGCTGAAGCTGCAGTAGAGACGCCGCAAAAAAAAAAAAAGAAAAAAAAAAGATATTTCCCCAAAAAATTCGCCAAAAACCACGAACTACGAACCATAGGCTTTCCTTTGCTGGGCGGTCACGTGGTCGAAGTAAGCAGAGGTGATCCAAGCCCGCTTGCGATTCAATTCGTTGAAAAGCGCTGCATTTCTGCATGTCTTCTCTAGGGCCCATCTGTGGCGGGAAACGATGTAAGGCAAAATGTTGAACGGTCTATGTTTATTATCGGCAGCCCTGGAAATGTTTTGGTCTAGATCAAGGGCCACGACAGATTGGAACAGAAATATAGCGGAATTAACGGATTAACATCATAGCGGAACGGATGAATCCCAGAAGTGCTCCATTTTTCTTTCTAACTCAGAGCGTTAGTGTAAAAAGAATCTTAGCGCAGTGCACGAACTCTAATGAACCATGAAAATACTTTGGGGTATATTTTTAAACTCCAAATTTTGGCCCGGGCAGCGCGTTGGCACACTCTTCCTTTGCATTTCAACACTACCATGGTATTCTTTTACGTGTTGCCACAATACACACCGGTTGTCCGATCACACCTACATAGCGGACCAGGACATATTATTTCGAGAAAAAAATTCGCAGCCTTCACCGGGGCTTGAATCCGGACCGTCCAGCACTTGCGAAGTACCACTCAGGCCTCACCGTTGAGCTGTATAGCTGATATACATGATAACATCTGGGACACTTCCAGAAATGTTCAATTAGGAATCACGGCACTCTCATAAGCATTACGTCCTTATCTTCAGCTGCAGTCTCACAGTATCAGTTACAATGGTATCACAGACAGTCTGATTGTGTATGTACGTATCCTCTCTCCCCTGATTGTTGGGAGTCTGCCAGATCCTTTGGTCCGTTCTCGCAGCACGTTTCTCCTCACATGGTGATGCTCCGTATGTTACACTATTCACTCGCTCGCTCTAAATTGGCGTCGCTCAGTTCACCAGAACCAGCCAGTCTAGCTGTCTGCTCGTTTCTCAACACACCGGCATTTCCTGGAGAAAACATCCAAATGACGCTACCTACACGAGACCACTCAAGCAATGGATGCAGACAATGGTGAGAAGCAGAGTTGACGGGCACGGTGACATATTGAAATCTTAAAGAAAAAAAAAAGAGGAACTGGGGAAAAAAACCCCCTTTAATTCTTTGAAAAATTTGGGGGGGGATGGGGCCCCAACCCCGGGGCGAAACCCCGACCTAGGGTTTTTTTTTTTGTGAGGGGGGCGAAATTTCCCGAAAGCCCGCGCTAATCGGTTTGGGACAAAATAACAAAACCCTAACCTATTTTTAAAAAAACCCCGACCCGTTGGGGGCGTCGAGAGAAACGATGATAGCCCATAAAACCCCCCCATCTTTCTTGTCTTCCGCTTGATGAATGAGTTTTTTATAACTTAGTCCTTCCCTTTTTTTATGTGATTTTAGGGTTTTCTTTACCAAACCTCTTTTTCGCAAACCCCCCCCCCCCTTTTTTTTTTTCCCCCAAAAAACCCCCCTCTCACCACCCCGCCCCGATGGTTTCTTGAAACAAAGCCCTTTTCAATCGAATCATGCCTCACCAAATGCCTGAAACAAGCCCAGCTTCGAATTTTTTATCACTGCCGGGAAGCTTCTTTGGGGGCCTGGGAAGTTTTTTATTTGATGATTGGGGTAAATAACAATTGTGTCATCATCAAATTTGCAAGTCCTTTTTCGAACGTCGCTCGCTTTCCCCCGGCCCCCTCTTTAAAGTATCCCATTCCCTGCCAGCTCTCCGGCCCCCTGTGCTTTCAATGCCAAGGGATGTTTTAATTTTCCTTACAAACCTCGCGGGTTTGGGGGACCCCCGCCTTTTGCATTTAAAAAATGCCTTCCATCCCCGGGTTTTTTTCCAAACCACCCTTTCTTTTTTATGGCCAGTTTTCCTTTATGTTCAACTTGTTTAGAATGTGTTTTTCCTTTCCTTTTTTTCTTGTTATTCTAAGAATTTTTCTACATCATTTCAATTCAAAAGCTCCAATCTTTTTTCCCCAAATGACTGACTGGAAATCCGGTAATCAAAAATAAATAGAAGTAAAAAAGGGGAGGCGTGGACGTTTAAATTTTGGGGGTAAAAAGGTTCAATTTTGCGGTAAAGAATATAGCTTACGATTTAATTTTTTTAAAGTTTGTTCTATCCTACTACTTTTTTCTTTGAGTTCCGGGAAAGATTTTCTATTTGCTTAGGACCTTTTTGTTTTTTTTGTTTTTGTATCCAAAAACCCTGGTTGTTAAACCTTTAGGCTCCGGGATTATGGAAATCGCAAACCCTTTTGGGGCCTTTATTCATTGTAAATTTCCGAAAAATTGGGGGAAAGGGGGATTTTTTGCCTACCTCCAGGAGTGTAAAAACCCCGGGCCAC